CTTTATCACCTATTCAGGTTGTAAATCGTGTTTTTAAAAAGTAACTAAGTAACTAAGTAATTAATTACTTTTGAAACTAAGTAATCAGTAAGTAACGGGATTACTTTTTGGGGGAAGTAATCAGTAATTAGTTACTGATTACTTTTTTCAAGTAACTTGACCAACACTGCTTTTAAATATGTAGAACTACTATCACATACTTCAACACCAGTCTTATCTGTGTGTGAAAGAGATGTTCAACACGCATTTGGTTTGAAACCTTAAAAGCTGATTTTATCCATATTCTGTCTTTTACACTTACAATTCTTCCCAACAGCTTGAATAAAAGCATAAACACCATAAAAGCCTCCTGGGATGTAATCTACAACCTCTAATATTGTTTGCATCTTTTGCTTTCACCTTTTCTTTGACCCTCAACATTTAGAAATAAATGGGCTTTTCTTTGCCACGCCACTCCACATGTTCAGACGAGCATTTGTATTCATAAAGTGGAGGTGACATTCAAAAAACACTTTACTAGTGCGAATTAAAAATGGCATTATGTTTTTAAGGTATGGCATTTAATAGTTGTGGAAGAAAACTGAAAATCTCCATACCGAAGCCTTTTTAGTTCAGCAAACGCTGCAGAGAGCAGGCAATCGGTGACGAACATTCGATTTTTTTCCTTCTAGAGTCTCTGGCCTTCCAAAGTTAACTCTACAGCTTGTTTTTGAATCTCATTCTTGTTTTGCTCTTGTTCTCCAGTTCAGCTCATCTTCTTGTCATGATGAATTTTAGTCTACAAAGCCAGGGTGGAAGTACACACTCACAAAGAGACTTTGTGGGTATCTTGCCGTGTACACAAGAAACCAAAAGGTTGAGAGGAGGTATGCGAGGTGTTGTTTCTTATAGCCCAGTGAGATGATTCGAATGCGTAACATTTGCATTTTCACCAGAACTTCTTTCTCTTTTGAACATGAGGCATTTTCATAAGCCACAGATGTTCTAGCTGAACCAGTATCTGTTTCCTTCTCTATGCGTTCCTGCTTGAAATACACTCCTTGTCCTCTGTGTGTTTGCAAGCTACGCCGTTGCATTATTCAGCTTCAGCAATGCTGATTCATTTGTTCTCTCTCCCACTTTGTAATTACCAACTTCTGCTCCCCCCTTTTTCAGATTTGCTCTTTATCTCCTCTCTGCCACTATCCTTCTTTCTCCGTTTCTATTCACTAAGCCATCTCCCCATCTCGTGCTCATTCACTGCAGCTCTTTCCACCATTATACCCTCTTTTACATATTCTGTCATTTTGATTTAATTTGATTTTTTCCATTTATTCGTCTAAAACCCTTTTAGGCACAAATGAAATCACAAGCGACGGAACCGCTCTACTTTTCCTTCATCCTCTCTTTTTGTCCGCTCTCCCACTGCGCTCTTTTCCCTTTTTACTTTCACCTCCCCTTAGTTCATCTCTTTTTGCCCTTCTCTTCTTACAGCTCACTTGATCTTCCACTAAAGTCAGTAGTTCAAAGAAAGGCGGTTCAACAGAATATCCCTAATCCACCGCATGGTAGGGTTTCCGCTGACAGAAAAGCACACATTTACATACCCAAGAGCAGACTCTAATATCCAATAAATATACCAGGCCTGTTTACCATTTAAAAATATCAGTCCATTGCATTTATGTTGGCAGATTTTGGTACCGACTCCAATTCTCTTCTGCCAGATCTTTTTATTTATTCATTTTTCATGAAAAGAGAATTCTTTGATTTAATAGATCCAATCTGTTCTCATTCGGTGACAGCTGTTGTTTGTCCCTCCAGGTCAGGTCAGACTCTCAGTGCAGGGCCACAATTTTTGCTTCAGTCTCAGTAATGCTCAATACATAGTCCCCGGACAATGACACATTTTTTTTTTAATATACTTGAGTGCAAACCAGTCTGACATTACTCTTTGCTCCATCCATCCATCTTCTTCCGCTTATCCGGGCCCGGGTCGTGGGGGCACTTCTCCCCGGCCACTTCCTCCAGCTTGTCCAGGGTAACACTGAGCCATTCCCAGGCCATCCGAGAGATGTCATCTCTCCAGTGTGTCCTCGGCCTACTCCTGGTTCTTCTCCCAGTAGGCACGTC